TTTAAATCTCAAATTAAGTTTCTTTTAAATTTTAACTTTTATGTATAACCTCATTTCTACTTATTATAATTAATTAAACATTATTTTTTTAATTAAATCACCCACTACACTTTCCAAACTATGAAACTATCCTTGGCCAAAATCTTAATCTTGCTCAAGTCATACTCGTTAACAATAATGTTATTATCACTCAAAATATGGAAACATTACTTTCATTGAGTCAGGTAAATTTGAGACCAAAATGATTGCTTGAACTTATCAAAAGATGTAATTTGAAAGTAAAATATTAATTTAAGTAAATACCAATATTGATTCACTAAAAAGAAAAGAGTTAGGCAATCTAAATTATTTCTTTGCTCAATCAGAATAATTAATTAAAGATATATTAAATTAGAAATACCAATAAAAAATTATGATGTTGAAAGTTTTGTTCTATTTAATCAACTAAAAAGTTTATCCATATTGAGAGAAAGAATACTAAATTCACCATGCTACGATGTTGGCTTCAAAAAATTTTTAAATCTAATAATGGTAGATCATTTAAAGGAACATAAAATAAATGATTTTGAATTATTGATGTAAGTAGAATTCATGTTTTAGAAATTGATAATTTAAGGAAAAAAATCACTAGTGATGAGTGTTGACTTTTGCATCGGCTAATTGCATCTTAATTTAATGGTAGCCGATGAAAGCAACAAGGAAGCTCATCGCTGAATGACCGACCACCGGATCTTGAAACACATCAATCCGAGAATAGTTGCCTTTCCAGCAAGTGGTGTTCAGGTTAGTGAATTTGATGCACATCTATCATTTGTCATTCACCTTCAGGATGACAACTATGTTAGATGCCCATCTCAGGCATTGGACTTCCTAAATGTAAACTGCTTATGAAAGTTTTTGCAATAGACGACAAAAGTCCTCATCTTATGCTTCATGAGTTTGATCTATGAACTGACATTTAGTTGATGACAAGTAACATCGATTGAAGCCCCATGCATCTCGTCGGCTGACAAGGCACGGACACCTCAGCGATTTCATAGAGCGATGATCAGCTCATCTTTATGACCTAAATCAAAAGCATTTCGTAGTAAGAAAATTTATCGACATAATTGTCAACTACAACTTTTAGATGGTCTGGCTGGTCTCGAGGCCTTCTCCTCGTTGGATGTCATGTTCGGAAGGTTCTTGGTGAATGCTTTGGACCACATAGAGATAGCAATTGCGAGACTACTCCAAGTCATCTCAGATTTGATAACCACCTCATCATTCAAAAATTTCACAGCTACAAGATAAGTGGAGGTGACAACTAGGATGGAATTAAGTAAAGGGCGACTGAAGATAACATTGTATGTGGGCAAAGAGTCAACTACGAGGAAATTTGTCAAGTTTGTGAATTCTTTCTCATTTTCTCCCCAAATGACTAGAAGGGTGAGGGTTTCAAATACTTCATTCCTTTCTCTGGAGAACCCATAGAGTGGCCTAGGCGTGGAGCACATTTTCTGTTCGGACTTCTGACATAGCTCTACGTGTCGCGGAGGTTATTCCTGAGTTATTTTCAGGTTATTTCTGGGTTACTTTTATTAATCCTGAAAAAACCCAGAAATAACCCGCAGTTTTTATTTTTGGGTTATTTCGGGATTATTGAAAATAACCCAGAAATAACCTGAAATTAACTTAGGAATAACCTCCGCGACACATAGAGTTACGTCAGGAGTCCGCACAGAAAAATTTGCTCTAAGCGTGGTTGAAATACAGGAGGCGCTCAAACCCTTCTTATCAAAAATCAACTTGAAGTTGGTGTTCACGGAGCTCCTGATGTCAATGAGTATGCTTCCAATCTGGTAATTATCTTTTATAGCAGTGATGAAAATAGCGTTGTTTTATGGTTTGCCCTGCAGGGATAAGTTTTCATCAGTAACAATGATGGGAGGGTGAGAGTTGTGTCGCTTTGTTAAGGCTGTTGCACATAATTCACCCTCCAAAAACCTCTTCAAGCTGGCTCGGCAGTTGAATCTTCTCCATCCTTTGTGACATAGTTGGAACTATGCTAGTTATGTGTATTTCATGGGAACAAACCGACTTGCTTACAATTTCTTGCATAGTAGTGTTTTCCTATCCTTGGGTGATTGCCCAGTGCGCTATCAACTTTTTTAGTTTCAAAACTTTAATCAAATCTTTGATCAAACTTTAGATGTGCCGGCAATTTTAGTGTCATGATCATGGTCATAATGACATGCGCAGTTTTTCTTCCGGTTCCAGAGAAACACTCAAACATTCATAAGGGTCACCTTCTTGAAATATTCTTTGTTTTGGATGGTCTCCACTGTCTTAGTCATTGAGACCCTTAAAGGAGTCTCCTTGGGTATCTCGTAAGCAGAAAACAATCACTACTCATAATGAACAAGTCGTTGTTTGAGATATCAAACTCGTTCTTCTTATTAATGGGCTTAGTCAGTCACGCTGTTGTACTCTTATGCTCAGCTAATGTACTCTTATGATGATATGTGGTTGTTGGCTAACTCCAATAGCTCAGCTAGTGTCTTCAGCCTTTATAATCCTAACGCGTAACAAAAAGGCTCTACCATTAAAACTTGTGTAAGGGTCGCATGTGTGACTGTGAGTTCTAACAAAAAGGCTCTACCTTCGCTCTATCCCTGGTGAAGCTACATAAGAGCTTACAAGTTCTTCTGGGGTTATTGATCATTGGTGAACTATGTGACGAACATTCACTTGAAATTTGTGAACGATGTGATTACTCCTGGTAGTAATCTATTGAACCACACGAGGGTCGAGTCCCTTTACATGGTGAAAAAGAGTCGACACTTCAATGTGTCGTTGATTTTGAGAAGACATGGTTAACTGAAAAAAATGGATGTGATCCATTTGTCCCTGATAAGATTAAAGTGTCAAAATCTTGAATCATTATCGTGGCTCAAAATAGATATATCGCGAGAATTCATTTTTTAGCCGACACAATGCTTCAGTATGCCCAATATGATGTGGATCAACCAACTCTGACCTACCTCTGTCACGATAGTGGGTTTCATCCACTCTCTCCAAAATCGGGTGTTGGGGGGGTCCTTCTCGTTGCATTGTCTCTCTTCATGTTGATGGCATGATCCATGATCATTGCATCTTTTAGGATGTTGAATATGAGACTGTTCTTGAATCACAACAAAGGAATAGAACATAATGAGGGGCGCGAGAAAGAGAGAGAGAGAGAGATGAACTGAAAGAACATTGTCCCTTTATAAAATATTTTCCCTATTTATGGAGAAGGTAGTACAAAAATGATATTATATTTTTATCGCATTTGTAAATGGTCTATAGGGGTATTTTTTATATTTTACAAGTGTTGGCTTATTTTAGGCTGCCTTTAGCTCGGTCTTCTAAGCTTAGTTGATCTTGATTGACTAGTTCGGCTCAGTCGACTGAGTTTGGTCGGCAAAGTTTGACCGGCCGCTGCAAATTATCTTCAATCCCCTATAAGGAGTGTTTGGGTCTCCATTACGTGGTCGAAAATACTATAGAATCGGCTCTTCCATTGGGGCAGTTTTTCTGCAATTGATGGCTTGGACGATCTCGTCTTATTTTAGGTCGAATGACTTATGGGGGTCCTTCGCCCTCTTTTTGTTTTTTTTTTTTTTTTTTTTTTTTTTTTTTGATCTAATTGACTTGGTTCGTATAACTTAACTTGTTCGGTTAGGTGGATCTCAGGATCTCCTTAAAGTCTATTTGCCCCCATTAAATTATTCTTTCCTGGCCGTTAGATCTCTATAAGATTAACGTAGACACCTTTGTGATGTTCAATAATTTATATACAACAATTGCTAACTTTCTTTTTTTCACTCTATCATATCACATAATAAATTAAAGTCAATTATAATAAACGCCTCATGTAAGGGCGAAACTAAAAGCAGGCACGTGCACACACACACACACACACACACACACAATAATAATATGAACGTGTTTAATGAAATTCATCTATTTATTATGTTTACTACAGGCATCAAGATATCTACATGCGAAAAAGAAAAGATTAGAAAATAAAAAATAAAAATACATATTTTAATAATACAAAATTAGGCAAATGATCCTATCATGAACTTATTTTATTAAGCGTTAAGATATATTATGATATAACAAATTCCTTCTTAAATGAAAAATTATCAAATAAATTCCTCCCCACTCCATGCATTGATTATAAATACACATATGTCAAAATTCATGAACTTATTTTATTAAGCGTTAAGATATATTATAATATAACAAATTCCTTCTTAAATGACAAATTATCAAATAAGTTCCTCCCCACTCCATGCATTGATTATAACTATACATATGTCAAATTCTTTATTAAAATAAAACATTATTACTTATCATGACCAACATGCATATTAATTCCAAGCTTAAATTACTGGGATATTAAAGAATATTTGCATTATATATTATGTTCTTTACTAAATTGTTAGTAGTATTAGTATTTTATACACTAGTTGAATGTAAAATCCAAATTCTGGGAACAAATCATGGCTAATGTTACCTTGAATCATTGCTAGTCTGAACATAAGAAAAAGGATCTGTACATGATACTTAAAATAAATTCTAGAGAACTGACATAGCAAAGCAAAAGAACCACTCTTTCTAAAAAGAGTGGAAGGTTATAATGCAATCAAGGTAATTGTCTCACAAGCTGTAGTTGGAGAAACTTCGTCGACACCCTTCTTAAATGAATGATACAAAAAACAAGGGATAAATCCACAACACACTTAACGAAACTTATTTCTCGGTGTCCCTCGTTAAAGACCCCACCGGAGCCACAACTGTTGTGGTATGGCTAGCACCGGCTCCCTGCTTCACTCAAAAAGTCAGTATTAGATATAGCCAGAACAATCACAAGTTGTCAGGAATATTTCTTTCACTGCTTTGTGGAATGATAAATTGCAGGAAGGAAAAGGTACCTGCATATTTGAAACCTGGCCCCGAGTTCGGGATGGTGTTTTGTTAAGATCAATCATTTTAGAGTCTGTATTACCGTGATGGTCACTGTTAGCAAGTATTGCAGGAGGAGAGACTTCATGGTTTGGTTGCTTCTCTCTCCCCATTGGGTGAGATGAGTGATCATAATCTACGTGGTTAGCATGCTGAAAAAACTTTTGTAAACTTCCATCCTCAACCTGCCCATGTTTATTGGCAACAAACTGGACAGCAAAGTTGATAACTAAAAAAAGAATTTTTGCTTGAATGAATTGAGTTGAGCCAAAAAAGTAAATTCTAACCTCAACCCTCTGCCTCAACAGAAGGTATCTTGCATGAGTTCTTTTTCCCCCAACATGCACAATGGTGTCACATTGCAAGCATAGGGAGCTTCCATCTATTTCACAATAGAAAAAAGCTGCAACCAGATGGAGGATTTGGAGAAGTTAGGGGAATAATTCAGGCAGAAATTTGAGTAAGATAGAGCGCGAAAAGTACCCGGTGACACTTCGCATATATCACAGCGGGGAACTTCACTGGGATCAGCTAGACCTACACGTACATGCCGGCTTGCAAGTTTATTACACTTGTGTACCTGTACCTCAAATTTCAGGAATAAATGAGTTCAGGATATTGCATGGGGCTGATGTTTTGTTTCTCTATTTTTTCTCATTTCAAGTTGTTTCTTAACTCAAAACACATGCAGCTAGTATTTATGCGTTCCAAAGTAATTATATTCTGTGCCTGAGGACTCGAAAAAGAAAAACAATACTATCATGTGGCTTGTCACAGCATGTAAGTCCTATATATGATGACTACCTACAGCACTTGCAAATCTGGAAGAACATAGTAGAACAATAATGAAATCATTAATCCACACAACTAATAGAATATGAACAATTATGGACAATTCTCGTCGAAGCAAGAATGAAAAGGTTAGCATCTTTAGCTGCATATTCAAACTTTGAATGGCAAAGATAGGTCGGATATTCAAACTTTGAATGGTGAAGATAGGTCGGTGTGCTAAGTTCTAATTCCAATAGAATCCTGAATAAGAGTGAAGTATTTTTCTTATGAAAGCACATTTATAACATGCATATACCACTTTTATGGCCTACACTAGCATGTCTGATTCGTGTAAGCAATGAATAAATGGAATTGAAGCACAAAAACTTCGAAGCTTAAAATGTTCACATTACTTCAGGGCCGAATCAAATTGCTTTGCAGTTTTTGTCATAGGGTCCAAATTCTTATGCAACTAAATAATACAAAGAATTAGCAAAATGGATTTTCAAAGACAGCAATAAAAATAAATATTCACCTCCTTTTGATGTAAATAAAAAAAAAAAAGAAATAAAAGTTCAATCATAATTTAATAATCAATTAAACAAAAGAAAATCAAAGAGGAAATGTTAACATAAAAAGTGACAAATCAAATTGGATTTGCAATGCAATTAGAAAGCAAATTTATAACATATTTAACAAAATGAAAAAAAAAAGAATTGACCAAGTATGACAGTAATAGAAAATACAAAAAAATATAAATGGAAAAAAGTAAGAATTCACCATGTAGCCCCAAAAATTAATAGTGGCACTTACATTGCAAACGCAGGAGTTAGCATCCAACTCGCCACACAACATTTAATAAAAAAAATTTATTTACACCAAAAATAGAGTAATGCGTGCTCCAAATTTTCTATTTATTAATCACATTCAACAGCACAAATAGCAAAATTTTCTTAGTCTACACAATTACTATTGCTACAGAAATAAAAATCAATTCTAAGATGCCATACATACAAAGCTCGAGGAAATGAAAATATCCATAACAATAGAAATCAATTATTGGAATATCATCATTGCCAAAGTAATAGATCTCATAAAAAGTAAAACAACCAATGAGTAAAACATAAAGCCGAAATCTGGAATGATGAATTGCAAATAAAGATTTTTTGAATCAAACCTAACTTGAACCGATGGAAGGAAAAATTTAAGGTTCAAAGGTTTAACTAAAATCCAACCAAGGGATTCAACTATAATGATGTAAATAATATAAAAATTAATTATTTTTAAAAATGAAATAATCTAATAATGCAGATAAGTAACTGATAATATATATACATGCACACATCATGAACTAGAATTCCTACACATGAGAATCCTATAAAAAATTACATTCCAACACTATCACCGTTGTAATTTTTACTCAAATTAAGTCAACCACCCAAATTAATAACTGAGCAATTCAAAAGAGAAATTTCACAGATTTATTCTTGTTCTTTGCAAATTGACCCATTAAATCCAGAACTCATAATCAAGATTGCAAGTCACAATAGATATGAAAATTATTGAAATGAACAATGCTAAAATCTAAACAAACAACATGTCAAAGGTCCAAAATAGAGGAGAAGAATAAAAAGAGAAGAAGAAGAAAATTGGAGAGAATGAGAAGTTTAGCTGAATTTAGGTAAGGAACCCTATTTACATGATTTTAAGTTATAAAATTTAAGGAATGAGGAAACCTTTCAAGATAAAAAATACTATTAGAGTTTAGCTGAATTATTTTGAGTTATTGATTTAAAAATTGGTTATTAATTAAGAAAATTGATGATTTTATTACACAGTTTACGAAAAAAAAATCATAAGGAAAGCTGCTTCAAGGAAAATCATTAAATATGATGTGATAGGAAAATATCTAATACAAGAAACAACTGATTCATAAGTTTGGCGATTATACATTTTTTTATATTAAGCTTATTACTTAACTCTATCATTGCCGAGTCTCAAGTCCTGCATGTGAAATGTGGAGGGTTGTGTTAGGTAGTCGACTGTCAGCATTAAATTTTGTCAAAAAATTATGACATAGTAGGACAAAGGCTTGTTTATTGTGTAGAACTTTTTATTAGCAACTAATGTTGCCAATAATTTTGCTATATTTTTATACAACCATATTTTATGAAATTTAATGATGTTTATATTACTCAAGTTTTAAGATTGTTTCATAATATAATGCATAATAAAATATCCAAATATAGAAATTTACATTTGATGCTTTTAGCTTTAACTTATATTGATATAGGTTGATTGATAATAGCTGTTAGCAATGTTAAATATTTTTAAAATATTTATGATAATCCAAAAGAAAAAAAAATGGTCAAACAAAGGTCATGTAATGTAAGATAAATTGACAAATGATTATAATCAATACAAGGAAAGGCAAAAGATCCAATAAGATAAACCTTCAAAGGGGCCAAAATAAGGTTTCTAACTTACTATTCTAAAAGTTGATATGTTACAGTTCAACCTTGATTTAAGGATTTATTGATAAATGATTAGTGTGATAATCTAATGATATGAATATGTCAAAGCTTATACATATGACACATCTATGACTATGAATAGCACAAGAATGATAAAAAATTAGAAGAGATGCAACTAATTTCATACTAGCATTTGACTATAGTAGTACATTAAATATGGACTTAAACGATTCATTTTATTTCTTTATAGATAGGTGTATTTAAAGCTTATGATCATATTTTACTTGTATAATTAAAAAATTTTATCTTGCTTTAAAATTAATACACTAAAATAGTCAATTCTTTGATCAATACTTGCTCATGTTAATTCAAAGTATGCATAATATTAGTATTTGTTCATGTATTTTAAGCCTATATTAGAATTATTTATCCAACTGAGCTTTTAGCTTGTCAGAAATTATGTTGAGTACTTTTAAGTAAAAGAAAATAAAAAAAAAGATGTAGTCATAGCAAGGTGACCAAATTTGTCCTTTGTTCTAGAATTTAAATGTACATTTTTGGATGTATGATAAAAGAATGATTTACATGATGTAACTTAAAAAATATTTTTGAAATGTATAAACTTTCTATAAATTTTTTAGAAATTTTATAATATAATTTGATGATTTAACTTATACACTTCTAAATTAACGGTTATAATGAATCTAATTGGATGATTATGGAAGCGTAGTAATATTTTGTGATGACTTAAATACACATTCAAACTTAATTAATAATACAATTTCTCTTTAAACGTATTAGACAATTATAATCCTTGCCTCTCAACTAGCAATGTTGGTAGGGGTGAATTCTTTGTTGTTAATGGGATAGTAAATTTCATCAATGGCAGGTGTAGAGGTTAGCACCATAGTACCTAATAATTTTATCATGATTATTAAATCTGAAAAAACCTGCATTTCCATCGTCGGAATGATATTGGGGGCTTGTCCTAAAGCTCCTTTGATCATCCTTGCAATTATTTCTTCTAATTCTATAAGCTAACTATTAGCACAAACTCTCAGTTCTCCATATTCACAAATTTTCCTATTTTATGTTGCTCTATCTCCCTAATGTTTGGTTTTTATTCTTTGTATTAATCCAAACTCACTATATCTTTCAAGATTTTAGATCCTGATCTGTACGTGGTAATGTTTAAACTCTACTAACGAATCTTGCACAAATGGCAAAAAGTTCTGAGAAAATCCATTGCAAACAGAAAATACCTAAAAAAATCATATATCAAAAATGGACCTTTGACCCTTTATTTATAGAATTTTGGGCTATAAGAGAAGCTATAGTTTGACCTTATAACATAAACAAAAGAAGAAATTCATGATAGGACAATTAGAAACATGTGAATATTATGGTCAATACATTAATATATACATTTTGAACAACCCCCACGCTAAGTTATTAGGAGATTCATTGACTTGAAAGATGACGGATGCATGTTGGCAAAGAAAGCAAGCTAGAAATTTGCATGAGTTGGGGAGATAAAAAATTTTGATTTTGATTTCAAGTTTGGGTTTTCGATATTTTTTTAATGAATCAACTTAAATTTGAGGTAGTAAGTTTATGAGCTTGTATGAGTATAAGCAATAATGATATTGCTAACAAATGGAAACAGTTTAGTTGTTCAACTTGAATGGGTAAATTGTCAAGTGTGAAAGATATGCAAATTCTAACATTGAAAACAAAATTTCTTAAATCTTGTGCATATGAATTTGTGTAAATTAGATTAAATATCATAACACGTTAGAAATTATTCTTATTGTTGAAAGCATATTTACGGTATACTATTCATTGTGTAACAAGCAATAATGTTATTAATTTAAGCTCAATGTTGAATGTCGTATGTTCATACAAATATTTTGTTAAGTGTATACTAAAGTTGTTACTTGTGTTCAAAAACAAGGAGGATTGACCAAGTGTTTTCCTATTTTAGTTGGATTACATCATGAATCAACTTTACGCCTATATCATTTGCTTTAGTTATGGATGCTCTTACTGGACATTTACAGGAAGATGTGCCTTGGTGTAAGCTTTACATTGATGATATCCTTCTTATGGATAATACTAGAGAGTTCAGAAAAAACTTGAATTATGGAGGTCAAGTTTAGAATCTAAAGGCTTTCGTCTGAGCAGATAAAAAATTGAATACATGAAATGTAATTTTAGAGATGGTGGATGTAGTGGCGAGGTTGTGATAATGGATGATCAAGTCAAATGAGTGAACATTTTTAGATATATCCGATTTATTATTCAAAGTGTTGGTGATAGAGATGGGGAAATTATT